ACAGAGCAAGACTCTGTCTCAAAAAAAAAAAAAAAAAATCATAAGATGATATTCTAAATACCTTTTTGCCAATAATTAGAGGAAATAGGTCCTAAAACAACATTTACCAAAATTTCTCATAGCTAATAAAGATAACGAACCCACAACTAAAAGCCCTGTTTATAATGATAATGGTGGTAACATACACCTAGAAATAATTACTAAATACTTGTTATATTTCATTGTCTCCTTTTTTGCTGGTTGTGATAAGTAATGACCATAATCTAAAATTAGAATTGACTGAAGCAGTTCAGCCTAATATATCTTTCTAAAAATATATTTTGTTGTTCAAAATAAAGGAATGGAGAAACTGCCCCCATGATATGAAGAAACTCTCGTGTAAAATGATTGTCTTTTTCCTAGGGTATTATCTTGAGAGTTGATTTTAATTTCTAAAGCTATCCTTAAGAAAAAAAATTGGTTTTTGGCTTGAATATTTTAAAATATTAAATTTAAATTCACTTGTTTTTGCTTTAAATTGATAGCACATACTTAAATGGCATCTGTATATACATCTCAGATGAAGAGATGTATATACAACTCTACATGTACACTCTGATGAAGTGATTCTCATAAAAAGTGACTTCCTCTTTTCTGGATTATAAATTTCAATGCCAATTTCAACTTAAGGAAAAAAAAGTTTTTTTTTCCTTGATTATTTTAAAATATTAAATTTAAATTCATTTGTTTTTGCTATAAATTAATACTATACACTTAAATACCATCTGTATATACATTCATTAAAATTGTCAAGTAATAAAATATTTTAAGGGAACTCTCATTTTACAGTAGGAGGTAAACACTATGCTCAAAATAAACAGCACAAATTTTGCTAAGAATGAACTGCAATGCTCACTTATCATCCTTAAATATAAAACATTGGTCTTGCTACATGTCCTGTAGCTTAAAAGTTGGAACTATATGTTAGAAATAGAAATTATTCAAGTGAGAACTAGCAAACTAGTTAAAAATTCTGATTCTTTCATTATATTTCCAACTTTAACCATGTGAGAGAAATTGAATAGTTTAAAGGAGAGGGTAAAAAAAAAAAGAGAGAGTGTTTTGGATTCAGGGGAACATGGAAGATTGAAATAATTACAAGTAAGAACAGTATTACAGCTCCTTAAAGGTAGGATTATGTTTCTTATTTCTTCCTATATCTCCTATAACACATGGCCCTATAGTTTTAATATGACAAATATTTAAAATATGTTTGAGTTGAAATTTCTATGTTTATAAAATACATCATTTATACAAAAAAAACCATAAGAAGATATAAAAATAGTGTGGTAAAAATTTGGATGAAGCCAGAGTAAAATAACCAATACTAGTCTTCTTTTTTAAAAAAATAATTACAACCTTTATTTTACATTTAGGGCGTGCACGTGCAGGTTTGTTACATGGCTATGTCATGTGATCCTGAGGTTTAGGGTGTTACTGATCCTGCCACTTACGTAATAAACATAGTAACCAACTGCTAATTTTCATTCCTTGCCCCACTTCTTCTCCCGGCCCTCTAGCAGTCCCCACTCTCTATTGTTGCCATCTTTATGTCCATGAATACTCAATGTTTAGCTCCCACTTATAAGTGAGAACATGTAAGAACCTGCATTCTTAAAGCACTAGAAAAGGCTAGAAATTTTCTGAAATATATATTTGACCTATACAAAATTTGGGAAATGAAATGATGGGTGACAGAAGAAAGAAACATGGAAAGTTGGGAGTGGGAATGTAGGAACAAGTAATATAACAATGAGAAGAGGGCTTTCTAGGGAACAAATTCTTAACATTTAATGCCTAACATATTGAGAAGAATTATATTTAGCTTAGCCAATTCATGGATCTCACTTTGTAATTAGAGTTTTCTAATTCTGACAGAAATGATAGTAGCAGAAAATCAGAATTAAAAATTTATTGTAAACAACAAAGAAGAATACTCTCTATTTCCAAATAATGTAGAATGAACACTATATAGCAGAGATATTGAAGATATTGAGGGGGACATTGAGGTCGATGAATATAAGGGGAAGAATTTACTATGACAGAAGTTCATCATCTCATGAGTATGGAACAGATAACCTTCAGTTCCATTTCCAACAGCCATCAGCAAGTTAGAAGTATTTGAAGGAACAATGGTTGTTGACCTTGTTATATGCTATTAACAATAGCAAATTTAAAATTTGCATATATTCTGTTAAATTAATTTATTCCTAAATATATATTTCATACTATTATAAATATTATTTTTAAATTTTTTCTCATTGCTATATATATTAGCATATATATATGGAATACAATTGATTTTTGTACATTTTGCTTGTATCCTATGGCCTTGTTTAACTTGGTTATCAGTTATAATAACATGTAAGAACCATGTTCAACTTGGTTATTAGTTATAATAACAAGTTAATTTTTTATGTTTCTTAACATTTTTGTTATAAACACAACCATGCAATCATGTCATCTATAAATAACATGTATGCCATTTATTACATTTTCTTGCTTTATTGTGCTAGCTGGCACCTCCAGCATAATATGAGTAGTTAATATCCTTGTCTTTTCTCCTAATCACAAGAAAAACCTTGTTTTTCATTTTTAAATATGAAGTTAGCTATAGCCTTTTTATAGATGCCTCTTATTTGATTGAGGAAGTTTCCTGATATTTGCAGTTTATGTGACGTTTTATCATGAATGGGTATTGAATTTTCTCAAATGAGTTTTCTGGCAGCAATTGCCACATATGGTTTTTTAATTTATTCTGTAAGTATGTTACATTATTTGATTTTTAAATGTGAAGCCAGCCTTGTATTCCTGAGGTAAAACCTCCTTGGTTATGACATATTATCCTTTTTATATATTGTAGAATTTGATTTGTTAACATTTGTTAAAAATTTTTTACATCTAGGTTCATAGACAATTCTAAATTGTAAATATTTTTTTGTATTATACGGGCCTGTTCATAAAAAACACTCTTAGTTTTTGTCTGATAATGTCATTATTATGCCTTCTGAAGAATATTTTTGCCAAATATACTATTCTATACTGATTTTTTTTTCTTTCAGCACTTCAATTGAATTGTGGTTCATACTTATTTCTCAGGAGAAGTGACCAGTCACTTTTATCATTGTCTTTTTTCTTTGGTAATTCTAAAGATTTTTCTCTTGTTTTTTAGCAATTTGATTATATGCCATGTTGCATTTTTTTTGTTTATTCTGCTTAAGTTCATTGAGCTTCCTGGATTGCTGACTTTATCTTTTGTGTAGAATTTGAGAATTTTCCTACCATTATCATCTCTTCAAATATTTTTCTGTCACATTTTTTTCTTCTCTCTTTTGAGACTACAATTGTGTGTACATGAAGTTGTTTTTTTAGGGTTATCATTTTCATACTGAGAATTTCCCATTATTCCCTCATTATGTTCATTTTCTCCCTTTAAATGTTTGAATATATTCATGGCAACTGTTTTATAGTCCTTGTCTGCTAATTCCATCATTCCATCATTTTTTGTCTATTTCTACTGACCAATTTTCCTGCTTTTTTGTATGTCTAGTAATTTACTATTGAATACTTGGCTCTATGACTGCTACGTTGCTGAGTGTTTGGATTTTGTGGTCTTGGTTGAGTGTTAAGTTTGTTGGGTGTGAAATGAATTTACTTTTGAATCATCTAGATTTTTTCAAGGTATTCCTATCTCCCCAAATACCCATTTTTTAATTTTTAAAGCCATTTTGTATGAGACTGGGCTTAGTTTTAAAATTTGTAAGGATAGGCCATGGAGAAACTCTTACTTTAGGGGTAGATTAGTCCTACTTCTAAAACATAGAGTTTATAAGATATACACCCTTCTGAATACCAGAGGTATTTAATGAAGGCTCCTGGTCATGTAGGAACTCTGGTAGTTGTTCAGCTCAAAGATAGTTGTTCTTTTCCTAGTGTTTGTCAATTTTGTTCAGTTTTATAGTTTTTACTGTGGTAGAGCCAATCTGGTACCACTATCCTATTATAGTCAGAGGTATATATATATTTCACCATATCTTGGCTTTCCCCGAGTCCTTTCCTCTTTCTCCTTTGACCCACTAACTCTGCCTTTATTCTCCTACAATTCTCTCTCAAGAACTGATAATCACTTCGTGAAAAGACTCAAACCAGAAACTGAAACTAATTATTATAACTCAATTCACTGTTCTTTCCATTATACTGTATATACAGAGTTATATATTATATAGTTATATACACATACATATATATATACACACACACATACATATACATATATACATATAATTTTACCTCCTGGGATTAAAACAATAACAATCTAAGTTAGTTTTAAGTTATTCATTACTTGATATATTTCTTGATTTATCTATTTTGTTTTTGGTGGATCTGTCATTTATATTTTATTTTTAAAAAATTAGAACAGGTTCACTCATAAAGCTAAAAATGACCCAGATTGAGAAAAACTATTTGATTAAAAGCCACTCCTGAACCAGCATTCTAACCACATAAAATTATCTAAAAAGTAACTTTAAGGAAGGCAAGGAGGCAACTAATGACATACTTGTTCCAGATTTCTGGGTTCCTTGTCTCATACCTGAGATTCATATAGTTTATGATTTCTCCTTGTGAGCTGTTTTAGCTGCTTATGAGAAAACAGGCTTAGAGCCTACATGTTTTTCTTTTAACTTAAGACCCTTTACGTTGATGAGATCTGTTCTTACAATGTAATGTTCATCACTCTCTGTCCACAGAATATCTATTAATTCATGTTTATAATTAGTCACTTTCCAAATAAATTTTGCATGGTTTTATTACCTTTAAAGGAGAGAAGAGATAAGAGCAACAGGAACAGAAATAAAACTGGTTTATAAAATGCTTCTTTAGGAAAAGCATTTTTAAATTGCACCATGAGGGAAACAAATGATTAATTGAGATTTTAAAGGGTGTGGGTCTAATATTCTTACCTGTGTAGCTGAATATATTCTCGGGGTCTGTTGAGCAGGTGAAGGAATCTGTCAACAATCTTGTTTTTTCCTACACCCTGTAATTACACAGAAAACACTAAATGAAAAGAGGCTATTGTCTGGAGATCAGCTTATGCCAAACTAGAAAAATCTTTTACCAAAACCTGCTTTCTCACATTTTTACTATTTTAGTTTATTGCTCATGAAAACCAAACTGGCAAACATATATGGAATATCTCTTATGACATAAGGGTTTAATAAATTTATTTCTAAACCTACTAGTTCTGAGCCATTCTTATTTGAAAGGAAATCCATAAATTAACCTCCTACATATTGATTTTTCTGTTCTGTAAACTTACACCGAAGTCTAGGCATCATAGCAGATGCCTCTAGTATCAACTATTTCAGATTTGAAGAATGTCATCAAAGGTGATCAAGTAAGTATAAAACAATGGTTTTTCTAATCAGCTCTTCAGAATTATGATTTTCAGTCACAGAAAGGTAAAATAATACTGTACTTTTTCTATTCTAATCAAACATTCATTTCTTCTCCTTGTATCCCACTTTCCAGTCCTTTAAAACTTAGGAAACCTAAACTTATAACCAAGGTGTATTAATAAAACTCAACTATACGTGCTCTTCCTAGAAATGCCCTCATTTCCTTACCACTTACTGGTGCTGAGACTTGCTATCCTTTTGTAGAAGACAGACTGTTAAAAATGGAATCCACCCCCATGCTATTTCCTTATTTCAAAGTTTTCACTTAAGAGGCAGAATACAATTAATGGGGTGTAAATCTTTTAACAAATAGGTTGTGTGGAAAGAGTTATAGTTTAAAAGCTGACTTCATATCATACATGCTAGCAAAAATAACTCTTATTGATTCTTATACAGGTTGAGCATCACTAATCCAAAAATCTGAAACCCAAAATGCTCCAAATTCTGAAACTTTTTGAGCACCAACAAGATGCTTAAAGTTCATGCTCAATAGAAATGCTCCTTGGAGCACTTCAGATTTTGGATTTTTAGATTAGGGATGCTCAACTGGTATGTATGTGCAAATATTCCAAAATGTGAAATGATTCTGGCCCCAAGCATTTCAGATAAGGAACATTTAACCTATGCTGTGTCAGGCTCTATGGTAAGTATTTTCATGAGTTATTTCATTTAATCATCACAACAGTCCCACGAAGTAGGTATTATAATTATTTCAACCTCACAAATCCAGAAACCAAGGCTCAGGGGTAAGCATGGTGCACACAGTCACACACAGATAATTATAGTGAAACCAGGACTCAAATCCAGGTCTATATAATTCTGATGTTCATAATTATAGTTTCTGCATTATGGAATATATTTCTTTCAGTTTGAAATTGATTTTGGTAATCTGGGACTTAAGCTATCTCCTTCTTCACTTCTAAGTCCATCCTGAAGAAATAATTAGGCAGACTGGGGCAATGCATGGTATACAGCAACAAGAGCAGAAGCCCAATAGGGAAGCAGGCACTTTAACTGGTATTTTTACTACATACTCAAACATCTTGTGAAGAAAAGCATTCTACAAGCATCAAGGATAGAAATTCAAATCAATTGAATGGGTATTTATTGAGTGCTACAGGGGGTAGAAACCATGTCTGTTTTGCTTATCACTATGTCCCCAGAGCTCAGCGCAGTGCCTGAGAGTGCAATCAATAAATATTTGTCAAGTGAATAAATGAACATAGGGAGTTTGGAAAGTACTGGAAAATGAGTGAGGATTCTGGTAAAATATTATTGGTGATCATGTTTATAAAGATGATGAAATTACGGACTTATAAAACTAGAATGGGCCAGGTGCATGACTCACACCAGTAATCCTAGAGCTTTGGGTGACTCAAGTGGGAGGATCACTTGAGCCCAGAGTTTGAGATCAGCCTGGGCAACGTAGTGAGACCGTATCTCTACAAAAAAAAAAAAAAAAAAATTAGCCAGGCATAGTGGCTCATGCCTGTAGACCTAGCTACTTGGGAGGCTGAGGTGGAAGGATCTCTTGAGCCTAGGAATTTGAGGCTGCAGTGAGCTCTGATCACACCACTACACTACAGCCTGGTGATAGAGCAAGACTCTACCTCTAAAATAAATAAATAAATTAGGTGGGATAAATTTTAAAAGTGATTTATTTTGCCTACAAAAGAATCAAGGTTATCGGAGCCCAATGTCAAACTGACAAATTCACTAAAGTTAGAACAATGGATCATTTCATCTTCTAGGAATCTTTTCAGTATGTAATTGGATTTTACCCAAAATAGTTTGAAGCCTAGCACAGAAACACAGGAGAAAAATCACATTTGCACATTTGTATGTAAATTACAACTGATATGTAAATTTTAAATGGCATGTGACCATAAATATAAATTTTTAAATAGATAAATTCAGATGAGTAAAATGTCTGTTTTAGTATTTCAGTTCTGTTAAATTCAGCAATCTTAAAGAAAAGCAGACATCATGAATACATTACAATATTGGAAATACAAAAGATTTCCTGGAAGAAATGTCACGAAAATGTGCTATCAGGGAGTTCCTCCTTTCTTCTCACCTCTAAAGTTATTAAATAGCCATGCTTATTCAAATTCCTCCTGAGCAAAACACGATTTAGGAGTTACAAGTCCCATAAATGTAGGATGAGATGTGGAATCCCAGTTGCCAGTAAGGAGCTCTTTTGCTGTGTCTCTTTAAATGGAGTCTCCAGAGCTCCAACCTCAGCTGTCTTGCTCTCTGGGAAGTATCACCCACTCCCGTGACCTCAGTCATCACCTAGAGCGCACACTTCTTTCCTAAGCTTCATTCAATATGCCCTATTCTTAACTGTCAACTGAACTTCTATAACAGATGCTCACAATGAACTTATTATCCTTCTACCCAAACCTGCTTTTGTCTCTTTTCAACCCCCATATAACATTATTGCCATGTACTCAGCTTCTCAATAAAAGAATGCTAGAATATTTTTGATGGCTTAATTTTTTTCACCTCTGACCTCATTCAAAATGTCACTAGGTTCTTTGCAGTCCCTACCTGCAAAACTTTGTTTTATTCTTGCCCTCCGTTCCTTCTGTTTCCTTCGTTCCTCTTTCCCTTCTGACATTTTCTCCCTCCCTCCCTCCCTTCTTTTCTCCCTCTCTCACTTCCTTGCCTAATTCATCAACTATCTGAGCACTTAATATTATAGCACTGTCCTAGCTGAGCTGGATATAATGGTAAAGAAAACAGCTACAGCCTCTCATTATATTCACAGCTTACAGCTAGTAGGGAACACAGACAAGACATATAGATACAGTGTCATATTACAATCGAAGAGTTAACCTAAGGGCTCAGGAAGGCCAACTGCAGCTATATTTAAATTGAGATATCAAGGAATTAAAGAGGTACAGGGAAAGACCAGAAAGGGGAGTGTTACAGGTAGAGAGTATAGTATGTGTCAAGCCCGGAGCAGTCATCTGGAGAGCTGGACAGGTCTGCAAGAAGTCAGAAGCCAGAAAAAAGCAAGGAAGGGAATGGTAAGAAACCAGGCTAGAAAGGTAGGTGGGGTTTAAGTCTGGCAAAGCCCTGTAAGCCACTTAAAAGAGTTAGAACTATTTCCTCAAAGCACCAAGAAGCCACTGAAGTAAAGGAATAATAGGATCAGATTTTCAGTTTTAGAAAACTGCTCTCATGGAATGGTATAGTGGAGTCTGGTAGACACCAGAAGAGAAAGCAAAGGAAAGCAGTTTGAAACTCCTTTGAAAGGAGGAGATGATGGTGGTCTGAATTATGGAATAGAGATAAATGAACAGATTTAAGATATATTTAGGAAAAGGAACTGACAGGACTTACTGAGGGCCTGGAGGTAAGGATGAGGAGATAAAGAAGTCAAAGTTTTTCTATATTGGGCAATAGAGTGGCAGGTCATGCAAGAAACAGGGGAGGAGAACTGAATTAGCTGGGTGGGGGAGGGAAGTCCAGTTATAAAAGGCAGTTTAATTTTGGATATGTTTACTTTGAAGTGTCTGCTTCCCATATCTGTTCCTTCCTCTCTAATTTACTGTCTCAGCACAAGGGTAGATCATCCCCTCCCCAGACTCCTGAAAAAGGCCTAATTTGGTTTGGTTTCCCACCTCCAGATTTACAACAAGACGATCCCCAATTCGTTATTTTTCTAAAACAAAGATCTCATCAAGTTGCTTCCTACTTCATTTTAAAAAGCTCTGATAATTTCTTCGAGGAAATGCTGAAGGCATCATCTAGGAAAGAATTTCTGTAAATATCTTGAGCAAAATGAAACAATTATAATGACTTGTTCCTTCTAATCACAGTTTTTGCCTAGAATAGAAAATCCTCAGGACTATTTTAATTGAATAAATACATAAATAGTGTCTTGTTTTTCTATTATAAAGTTACACACACTCATTTTTTTCATTGGAAAACTTAAAAAACAATAATCATCCAATGTGCAGCTGCTTAAAAAATCTGCCAACATTTTCATTTTGTTCCTATACATATTTATCTTTACTTACTAGTAAAAATTCTACTAATATATATGCAATTTGTATCCTTTAGTAAAAATCCATGTGAAATAGATAAATTTTTATATCATTATTAACTCTTATTGAGAATAAAATTTAGTAAGTGAAAATTTGAAACGGGAGAAGAAACCTGTGGAATGAGAGATCCTAAAAAAATACAAATTATCTCATGAGAATGATGCTAACATTTATCATCACTGTTCTGCCGAACTGTGCTCTTCATGGCAATGTACTGAACAGAAGGATTTTCACAGAAGCAGGAGTCAGGTAGCCCTTTCACTAGAGGGTTAGAAGTAGGAATTATGTGAAGCCCCACAGACTGGAATCACACCAAGGAGAGGAAGTAAACGTGCTTCCAGTTTCTGGGAGAGAAAAGCTCAGGGACTATGACTTTAAGAACACTGTTTCCCTGTAGTTGTGCGGTTTTGAGTGAGTTTCTTAATCCTGAGCTCTAATTTGATTGCACTGTGGTCTGAGAGACTGGTTGTTATGATTTCCATTCTATTTGCTGAGGAGTGATTTACTTCCAATTATGTGTT